ATGTTATAGGTCTAAATGCCAAAATCCCCACTTCAGGACTTTGGCAGTGGTTTCTACTTGAATAAGGGCCATGTAAAAATAGAGGGCCTGGTCCATAGCCTTTGTTAATCCTGTTTTGTGCTTTTCCAGTCATGCATAATAGCCTTAAAGTTGGCTTAACCAGCTAGTAAAGGATTCCGCTTGCATTATGCAAGAGATCCCAGTGTCAAAAAAACTTCCCCTGAAAAAAGTGGTGCAGCACACGCGGCAGCAGCCTGTGCCACCGGAAGGGGAGCCTGGCCAGTCATGCTCTGGCTGCTAACTAGACTCTGAGCAGCCGGATTGCTGTTGCTTCTGCCCCAGGAGGCCCCTAGGACCCCCAAGTAAGGCTTCTAGGGCCAACATAGGTGCTGGCTTCAGCCTTTCCTACCCCACCTGGGACAATTTGCCCCACACCAACCCCATATGCAGGGGTGCGTGCAGAATCAAAAAACAATGGCACAAATTTGTGCTGCTGCTATTTTTGCCACAGCAACTGCATGTTTCTGCATGTGGAGACATGCCCATAGTGTCTGTGCTCTCCCCAGCTTCCTGAACAGGCAGGAGAAAGAAGCTGAAGTAGCACAGCATAACTTGGTACAGCCTTAGACGCTGCTTTAAGTTATGGCAGAAGTTGGGCCAGTTCCCAGCTGGCCCTAGACAGGAAAATAGAAAAATGGTCACTGGTCACTCAGCTGAATTTTTGCTATCATTGAGGATATGTATGGCCTCTTCAAGATTAAGTCAGCCAGACCTGGCAACCAGATTTGTAAAGGAAGAGCATTGGTGTTTCCCTTGGCTTTTTGCATTTTTTGCCAGTTATGCATGGCCTCTTCAAGATTAGGTCTATAACAAAGTATAACCCTACACAAAAGTAATATGAGACAGAGGGTTAAACTCTGTGATGCTGATTTAGTCTGTAATCAGGCAAAATTCCCCTAAACTTACTAGGAAATTTGCCTTGGTAACCACCAGGTAAAAACGTATGCTCCCTTCCATCCCCTCATGCTGCAGCACCTCCAGTTGACTTCATATGTCCTGTTCCCCAGATATCAAGTGGTTGGGGAGGGATGTAGTTCTACACTCATGGGATGAAGTCTACCATGGCCTGCTCCACAGAGTGGAAAATTTTTCTGACTCTATGTGTGTAGGTGTGGGGAAAATACACCAAACGAGCCTGATTTTGAACATGTCTTGCTTGCAGCCCCCTCCATGGGATGTGTGTGTGTGCAACCTTTCTTCTGGCAATCAGGCCAGTCAGATCTGTACTAATGTTCCAGTCCCAAAGAGCTCACAGTCTAAAGGTGTGATCCAAAGTGTATGGCATGCATAACACTGGACTTTGGACAAGTTGTGTGGTTCGAAATACACCTGGAAAGGGCCATGGAATTGTCCTGGTGGCTTCCACACTTCACACTTAAAAAAAAATGTTTCCCCCGATCTCCTGAAGGAGAGGACAGGGAACGAGAGCTTGGAAAACATTCATTAGGAAGCTGAGGTCAGCATATGCAGTAGCACAGAAGCTGTGAAGGTGGCAGCAGACACAGGGAGTGTCAGGAGAGAAGCTGGGTGCGGCATAGGGAATGGGAAGGGGTGTGGGAGGAAATGTGTGCAGAAATGCAGAGATTTTGTCCCCAGGCAAAAGGCTTCCAGACAGTTCTTCAGAGGCTCCTTGTACCTTCCTCCCTCCTCAGTATTCCACCTCCCATAAAAATTAATAAGCAGCTTCTAGATGGCAAATCAGCTGCAGATTACAGCCATCCTGGTAATGGTACCTTCTGTTTAACAAGAGTTGTCTCTTATTTCCACATAGCAAATATTGTGCATATTATACATGGTTTTGAGCTCAGCAGGAGTTGGCAAGGGACACATTAAAGAAAAGGGACAGTGAGGGAATTCTGTGATCTGGCCTACATTTTTTTATGCTTAAAGGGAACTAAAACCATGAAGTGTATTAGTAGGACTACCAACATGTATGGCTATTTACAAGTGCATGACTCTCAGTACAGTTCTGAATACAACTAAAAGATAGATTAGATAAATATTCATGTTAAATGCACAGATTAGTAAATACTCTCTTTCTTTTATTTTCTGTCCAAAAGACTCCAGAAAACTAGATTTGGTCAAAAACCAGTACTAATAATTTCCATGACAAACATTGGCCTTTTGGTGGTTGAATAAGTATGAGTGATTTGTTTGTGCATTGTCCTGCCAGTTCTATAGAAAAATGAACAAAGAATTCAATCAGTGCCTTTTTCCCCATTGATTGTCAAATAGATTATTCACTAATACATGGTTTCATTATTTATTCAGCACTAGACTAAACACATTCTACTAAACATAGTTTTCAGCATCATGTTTCAGTTTATACATAATTTTTTCTCTAGGCAAAGAGAGAAAATCTTTGAACAGTACTTACTGATTCCTATCAAGCATGTTTGATAAGGTATTTTAATAAGAAGAGGAGGAAAGGAGCTAAAAGATTATATTTTGAGATCAATATGAATCTTTCCACTGATTGCCATAGGAACTGGGTTTTTCGGGAGCCAGATACAGTAATATTAGCAGTTTTGAAGGTTTAGTAAATATTGCCCTTTGCAAAAAGCCATAATTTCATACTGCACTTACCAAAAGACAGAATTGGGCCTTGGATGGAGTGAGCAATCAGTTCCTAATGCTATATAGCTGAGCAGCAGATTTCTTCCCAGTGTTGCTCACAGGGATTTAGTTATAAAGCACATAGAACAACATGCCTGTGCTACCCATAGCTCTACTTATGTTAACTTTCATATATCTTGGCTTCTGTATGGTTAATTTCTTAGTGTGGGTGTTGAGTTAGTACAGGTGTTTGCATTTAATTTCTCTGCACCAGTTCCACAGCTGATGCAATTCAGCCCAGTGATGTTTAAGAAGCTAGTCTACTTTTTTTAGTAAATGTGGAAAGTAAAAAAAAAAAAAAAGGAAAGTGAAATATGGATCGCTGTACTGGTACAAAATACACTGTTGCTGTGCAATAGCAGAAGGGTATCCAAGTTAGGGGATTCTACAGTGAAATAACAGCATAAACCTGCAGAACTTAATGGACTGACAGACTGAAAAATGCATCCAACTAAATAGCATATCTTTACTGCAAGTCAGCAAAAAAGTCTGTTCTCTCTGTCTTCAGAGAAACAACTATTAGATGGTTGCTGCCATCACATTATTTTCAAAGGAAAATGAATAAGCTGTGCTGTTAATTTTATGCAAATCCATGCTGCATATCTATGAAAACGATATCTATCACAGTACTAGCATGATTAAGTCCGCCTCTTTCAAGGAGGTGGCATACTTTATCCCTTAACTAATTTGCCCAACAGGAATCCTTGGCATATGCCCCTGCAATGATTACAGCTATTAATCATGATTTCAGTAAAGGCCCTAATCAGGATCAAGTGTTAGGCACATGTAATCTGAGACAATCCTTGGCCTGCAAAGATTACAGTCTGAAGAGTCACAAATAGACAATTAGGCTTGGCAAAGTTGGGAAGCCCTGGGTGTGGTGGAGGACTTGCTCTCTTCACCCCATTCAGCATGTGGGTACAGGACAAGCACAGCCTCTGGGAAGGAAGCAGGCACACTGACAGACACAGCAGTACTGGCTGCCAAAGGAAACCGCCTCCTCCCACTCCTGCCTCCTACAGAAGTCTCTCAACTAAAAGGTTCATTTCAGATGCTATGCAGGATACTTTGGAGGGCGAGGCAATTGACCTTAGCCGAGACTCTTCTCTCCAGCAAGATCACTTGGTTGATTCTGCTCATGGCTATTGAAAGGAGCATCATTCAGAAGGCCTTCTCCATACAGTTGTTAGTGTTTTCTTTGTGCAGATCTTTAAGCCTGAATAAAAAATAACTAGGTTAGAATGAAATGCTGGCATTAAAAAGCTATGTGACTAATGCCTAACTTTCCAGCTGCCTAAATGTATGGCACATTTCATCTTACAGAAATCATAGTATCTGAAAACAATGGGTTTTTGTCCTGGCCATGAAGGTGTACACTCAAAGTACAGCTTAGTAGGACTTTATACCTCCAAAGGCATTAGACATGTCTAAAGTGGAATAGAGAATTTAAATGTGAAAATGTGGGGGGGAGTATAGTTTTATACCCACACATGCACCCAAGCTCACACTTCTTTCAAAAGTGACTAATAATTTGGGATTTTTCAGAAAGTGAAGATATCCCCTTTTCCTTGTAAAGGTGTTTCAACTCAAGCACCTGTAATTACCAGGCACTTCTGAAAAACTCAGAGCCACTCACACAAACACAAGCACACATTTCCACACAATTCACACCATTTAATTTAGATGCACCTTATCAGGGAATCTACCTAATGAGGAAAACTCAGTTAAAAACCAATGAGGCTTTACTAGTAATGACTGCATCTTCAAGGGAAGGTAATGCCATTTAATTAGGATGCCTTCAGGTTATTTAGTAGTTATTTATACTGCTTGGGCTTTTGTGTCTCAAGCTCAAGCTAATCATGTCTGTCTGCTCTTAAAACAGAGCTTTCAGATCCTCTTTAGTAAAGATACAGGCAGACGACAAGGCAAGTTACTTTAGCAATTCTTGCTTCTGGCTGCTACCTGCTATAAGAGAAGCAAATAGCCTGATACAAGGTTTTTTTCCTGTGACTGGGGTTGTTCCCTGTCCTACTAGATATGGTGCTTTCTGCTGTCTCTTTGGAGCTATGAAGTACCCTGGAAAACTCACTACAATGTGCCAGAATGCTTCTTTAATACTGAAATGGTATTCTCTCCTAAATATAACAAAACAAATCACCAACCACCGAGGACGTCCCAATATAACAAGATCCCATACAGGCAACTTACAGTCTAAATGTGTGTTGTTGCCCTGCCATTAAGTGCAATAATGAAATAAAATAAGACAGTTATATATAGATATCATTTTAATCCAACTACATATACGTATTATACACATCCAATTTATTGTCAAACATATGCATTAGCTGCCATGCTAAGAGTCTGTTTTCAAGGTGACCATAGTAAGCGCTTAAAAATACTTTGAAAAAATCTCCCATTTTTTCTTAATAGTAAAACAGAAATCAGCATTTACAGTTACACAATAAAGCATACTCAAGTGTATATGTGCATCATCATTAGGCTGGCAAGTTCTTCCATCATGCAAAGCAACAGGGATGAAGTGTTTTGGGTTCAGTCAGGCTTTATTCATGATCAGAAAGCATCTTCCCTAGTGGAGCTGGACAGCTGTTCTTTCCTGGGAATGAAGCAAGGCTTGAGCTGATTCAATATTAGAAGTATGACAAATCCACATTTCCAGCTGCCGGTTGAAGAAAAGAATTGCTAATATCATGCAATTTTGGTCAGGAATCACAGGAAGATTCACATTCTTCAGATACCAAACAAGGAGCTCTTGATAGAAAAAAAAGAAAAGAGTTATATCCCTAAGGCCTATAGTTGGAAAAATTGGGGAAAGGGTATTTGGGATGTGAACGATGACTTTTTTCTTTAACAAGTGATCTGTGTTTTTCCTGAAGTTAAAGTATAGATGCCCATATAATTTAATCTGAGCTGAGTGTAACAGTTGCTGTTATTCTTGTCCTGCAGCCAAAAGTTCTGTGCATTAATTATACACTGCATTTAAAAATCCTTATCTTTCTGTTTGTCACTGTTTAATTCAATATGTCGTCCTTTTTCTTAGACGTGGCAAATAGTAAGACTAATTAGCTTTCTTAATTGCATTTTCTGTTTTAAATCCCTATAGCTTGCTTTGCTCTTTTTTATTTATTTACCATGCAAATGGTCTGGACATAGCTAGCCATTTTTCTGTGCAGGGCACTCTATTATGTTTTGTCTAGCAGTGTGCAACTACTGGTGGAAAAATACTGTTCTTTACAGGTCTTAATAAGTGTGTGTGTGTGTGTGTGTGTGTGTGTGAAAATGGTTACATGATGTATTGTTATTACTTGCATTATCATAGTACTTGAGGGTCCTACTCTGGGACCAAGACCCTATCATGATTGGCACTGTACAAACATGTCCCAGCATAAAAGTCTGGTAAATCTCTGTTCTAGAAAATATGTGTATATTTCTGAATATATATGTATCTAGATGTCTCCCTATATGTATGTATGACTCTGCTACCCGTGGCTGCAGGTACTGGAGGTGTTCTCAGCTGGTTTTCATTAGTCTTTAGTGCTCTGAAACTTGGTTCTTGGAGATGTGGTATCTGTGAACTGGAAAGAAAGGAGTAGGTTAAAAAACAGAAGTACATTTTCCTGGAAACCAACACTTTTTCATTTGCAAGCTTTATTGGCTACCCGGGCAACTCATAAAAACATTCTTGGCATCACCTAGAACAGTGGGGAGCCAACTTTTTTGGCAGGTGTGCCACAAATTAGTCCCGTGACCTCCCCCACAGCCACTCTATCTCCTTCCACTGCCCCATGGACTGCTTTGCTTTTTGCTCCCTGCCCTGTGCTCCCTGACTGATCTGCCCTCTTGCTTTCTGCTCCCTGCCCTATCTGCCACTGTGCTGCCTGTTCTGTGAGGGGATGTATCCATGACATTGAGTATGAGATTGGCAGGGCTCTGAGAGAGGTGCTGGGCATGGCTGGGGGATGTTGATGTCCTTTGGATGGTGCTGGTTAGCTGGCTGGCTGGCGAGTGCTGGAGTGCATGGGAAGGGTAGCTGGTTTAGAAGGTGGATGGTAACTAGGCTGAGGAAAATTGTTGCTGGATGAGGTGCATGGCCTGTTTGGGGGGAAAGGCACTCTTATTTTTGTGTATCTGTTCAGGCTTCTCTGTTACTAGAAGCAGGGGGGCAGAGAGAGAATGTCCTTAGCAAAATGTCCATGTCAAAACCCTAAGGCAGGAAGGCCATGCAGAGCCTGGTGGGGAAAGGATTGCCTCCCACTGTCTTGACATCACCTGTATCTGCTGCCATTACCTAATCATTCCTGATAACAGAGATGACAAAAATGACCTGTTCCAATAACTGTTAACTAAAGACCTGAACGGATGGAGACTTAGATTTCACAGACATTAGGGCTGGAAGGGACCCTGAAGGATCAGTGAGTCCAGCCCCCTGCCCCAGGGGCAGGAAGTTAGCTGGGGTCACAGGATCCCAGCAAGATAAACATCCAATTTTCTCTTGAAGGCATCCGGAGTAGGTGCTTGAACCATCTCCGATGGCAGGCTATTCCAGACTTAAAAGGTCTAAACATCCAAAGTGTCTTGCACAAGCCCACAAGCTCCTGGGAGAGATCGGGGCTACTGAAACAAACCTGTGGGCAGCAGCACAGTGGGCTGACCGCTGGGAAGGGCCAGGCCTATTCTTACAGTGTTTTATACCAACACCAAGCCTGGGTCCCGCTGAACAGAGCGAGATCTGGATAGGGAGGCTTGAGAACAACACTGTACAAGATGGTCCTCTTGCACAGCCGCCATGGGGTCCAGCAATGATTACAGCACTCAGTGGAAAGCCGAGATCTCTAGAAAAGCCCAGAGCGGGCAGGTGCAATCCGCCCACCGCTCCGCGCCACCAGTCAGGGGCTCTGGGCAAAATGCTCACTAGGGGAAAAGCAGAAGATGCCTCCTGCTGCAGAAAAAACGCTGCAGGAGCGGTGGGGGGACCTCTCAGAGCTGGGAGTGGAGGCGCTAGTGCGGCCTGGCCCGTCAGGGGGAGCTCCAGGCACACGCAGCCCGGGCCCAGCCCCGCACAGGTGGCCGCCAGCTGCAGCCGCCCCGCGGAGCCCCGGA